AGATGGAAAGAGGAATGTTAAGAGAGAGAGAGAGAGAGAGAGAGAGAGAGAGAGAGAGAGAGAGAGAGAGAGAAAACTACACAGACGATCACGCTACGTTCCGTGAATTCGGCTCCGGACTAGATTTTATTACATCACGCTAACTTCCAAAGATTTGCACAAGAACAATATTGCACAATCGCGACTCTATGACGGTCCATAAATTCATCTGTCGATGTAAATTAATGTAGAACAATGCCAGCAATAATAATGGTTAATAAACATCACAATGTCGTCCGCAAAACAGAATAGATGCAATTGCTCTGAGCGACTCGTCGACTGTACATGTGCGTATTTTCATTTACCTGCTTATTAAGGATATTGTGCGTTATTATTATTATTATAATCTAAATACTGACGCGGGAACAATAAAACTTCCCTCGTCGGCGTGGTCGATGTAACGAATATCCATTAGGCGCGATAAGGCCGCATTTACTCATTTGAGCCCATTTAATCTGGATCAGTTGCGATCTCCGGTTATCTCGCCGCTCCTTTTATCTTGCGTATCCTTCCACACATATACATATACATATCTGTTTTATTCCCCTTGGTGTTCCTAATTCGCCGGAGCGACTAGCTGCTTTTCTTCGAATGGCGGTTCTATTTCGAGCAACGTTGGGCATCGGTTTTAGTAGGCCAGTGGGAAACGGAAGCGGAGGGTGCGGCCTTTGCCTACATATCGGTCACACTTATGCTCGTTAAATCAGACTGACTTATTCTCGCGCGATGCGTTTCATCTATTCTCCATCGCGTCCGTTCAATAGCTCGCTATCGTCTCGTTCTGGAAAAAGAAAAGAGAGAGAGGGAGAGAGAAAGAGGAATGAGAGAGATGGAAAAACACGCAATCCGCGATGAGACGACCAATTAACGAAATGGACGGTGGCTCAAACGGAAGCTATAATAAACTGGAGTTTCCATCTCTCGCATATTTTTACTACGCGAGGGGAAGTACTGAACGTCACACGAGTTGAATGCTCCCGGTGAACTGACTAATATGATACTGTAACAACGATAATAACAGTGGCGTATTACGTATGCGCGTGTATCCACCAGCAGTTTATTGATATTACGTTCGCGAAACGACCCAATTGAACGCAACGTCAAGTACCGTTTACGACACGCCGTTAGAATCTTTTAAGGGACGCGTAGGAATGCCGGGTCACGGATAATTGACCCTCTCGCGCCTTCTACCCGCGCAATGTAATTTCACGTCGCTTAATTACGCAGCATGCAAGGACAGTGGCCCTAATTCACGCGGCGAGCCTCAGTCTATGATCCATAGATTTTCCTCAGCAGAGGAAACGACACGTTGTCCACGGACGAATCGGAGCGGCGACAACGGGAAACGAGCAACATCGACGAGGATAATGATACGAAACGTCCACAGAGAATGGAGTCGAGCGACAGCCGCATGATTTGACGATTGAAGCAATTTTATTGAAAATTTCGGATTTTCCATTTAATATTAAATTATAAGTTACGGTCAATTAGATCATCGTTAACCTGTTAACCGAGCGGGACGTATAAATACGTCAAACGTAAACAATATCGGGTACGGGTAGGACATATGAATACGTCCTTGACTTCATAGTCTTTTCATTTATTTTAAGCATAAATAAAAAAAAATAATATGAAATTACGTCCTCTGGGCGTGACATACTGACACGTCTTAGTGAAAGAGTTCGCGCCCGTTATATGCTGCGTAATTAAAAAGGGAATTCCCCGGTTAACAGGTTAATCAGCAACGTAGCGATGATGCATATACACAATTGTTCGCTTTATTAAATTTAACAAACTGCGCATTTCTTCATAACCTTCGCCTGATAATAAGCGGTTTTGCGTAAATTACACAAACTACCAGGCAGTTAGTATAACCATGATACTATGGTATCTGTAATGACATTGCAAAATCGATCGCTAATTTGGTGATTCGCTGAAAGAATATCCTGGTCGTACACTTAGACGTAATAATCTCGTCTAACGACAACCCGATCGATACTACGGTGTCGTCATCTGCACAACTGTAATTATGTCTATCTATAGCGAGAACCACCGATCGTACTATTTCTAACAGCTCTCTACAGCCGGAAACGAAATAAATTCGGATAGTGTTGTATAATTCAAACATTGCGAGGTGTTGAGAACATGAAAATGATAATTTAGAATAGAATAGAACCAGAAGATTTCCACGAAGCGGCTTTGATTTGACTTTGCAAGCTCGACTGATTAGTGTATCGAATTTAATTGCGACGTTGTACGTAAGTGATAAAATACGAATAAAACGGGATGGTATAACGATGCGAATCAGACTGCGCGACTGCGACGACCTTACGAGAAAAATTTCGAACAATCGAGGCCCCTCATTTTGCGCTTCGAAGTGTTAGTGATTTAATTAAACGCGTCAAATATTTTTGCAGGCTCTTTGGATTAACGGAAAGCCTCGAATGTTCGCGATAATTTTGTAGCGTTCGTCTGCTTGAAATTCTTTCTCGAATAGGTTAAAAAAAATTAATTTGTATAATAATACTATCTAACCGTATGACACATCCATTTATACTAATTGATAATTTAATAGCTAATTTCATTTTCTCTGTATTTCTCACCTGATTGGAATGAATAAAACTATTTTTATGTCGTTTTTGTCTTACTGAAGCCCGGTTCGTTCAATTTTTCGATTTTCTGCAAACGTTCTTGGGTGACTTGTTTCAAGTTGATGTAGAATTCTGATTTTGGAGGAAAAAGGCATTTGAAGTCGTGACGATCCAAACAAAGCAACTCGCACATCTCCAAGGCGATCACTGATTCCGTTCTACTCCGATCAGGATAAATAAGAACAGTTTCGCCAAAGTGGTCGCCGTCATGTAAGTGGCATATCTATGTATATGAAAGGTAAAGAAATATATCACAGTTATATAAAAATACTTTAAATAAGAATGCTTCAAGAGAACTCTTTAGGAATTTCAGATATTTTCAGTCACTTACCTCCTTTCCCGAGAATGTGATCAATACGACGGTTCCATTGGCTATGAAATACATACAGTCGCCCTCGGTGCCGGCCTTATAAATTACATCTTCCTCGAGATATATTACCAGTCTTAATAAACCTGTTTTATAACGTGAGCGTATTGTTAATTTACAACGGTTAATTGTAATTTACAGCTTGATACAAGTATGCTTGATAGCTATCAACAGAAAAAAAAGAAGATAATTACTCATCAAGTCGCCAAGGACGTTATGGGTCAAGTTGCGAAGAATCACATTGTTCAACAATCTTCGGCTGCTGTGGAGTAGAATTTCTCGGTTCAAGTGATCTACGGAAGCGTAAGGAAAACGTTAGCAGGTGATAATATCTTTTCCATCTTGTTTCTTTAGGAATTAGACGGTTAGTTATCAGTTTAACCGACTCAATCGATATTCCTTGTTCTCAACTGACTTGAAAGAGTGTCAGATATAATGCTCTCTTTGAAAAAACTGCCTTGGTAACGATATTCGTAATAGGAGATCAACTTGTCTTGTAAATGTCGCGGAAGCCTTTTCTGATGAATGTACTCCTTTACTTGATGCATGATGCGTTGATACTTGAGTTCTGGCTCAGCCGAAGATTCCAAGAGTTGCAGAATCGTTACTGTGACACGACAATAGTATGAATCAAGACAGTGTATTGTAAGATTGAAAAAGTAATAGACAAATACGAACAAATACATAAACAAATACAAATACATAAATTTATTTCTTTTTTAATAAAGACTCAAGTTAGTTTGCCTAGAATATTATGGAGCACAAAAAAATATATATATATTAAAATTACCATATTATATATTTGCATTTATGACTTTTTAATCATCAAACTTTCTCTTTCATATATTTATTTGTAGACCAAAATTAAAGAAGTTAAAATCTACGATATATACTATACCAATGAGATAAATTATGTAACCCTTTCCACACAGCAATAGTATGCATCGAATTACTCTGTCTAAAATTCCAAAATCTTCAAATTCAAAAGAACTGGAGCCGATCAAATTGCTCACTCCAATGTGCACAGATACTAAGTAAATCTTCCAGATAGGCTTATTGTAAAGATGTTTCGACATAAAATACGTGTCGGAGTCCTAAAATCATCACATCATACGATACAAGATAAACTACAGTTTTGGTATGATCTTCTCGAAAGTATCAATTTAAATGCAATAAAATTAGAGATTGAATAAACCTCCATAGATTTTCCTTGTATATGTATGACAATGTGTGGAAATATGTAACTTATACAGCCACTCCAATGAATAATCAGTAACGTTATGATAACGAGCCATATCGTTGTCTTTTTAGTTCGCGGTATGCCGTACATCTGTTTAAAAAAGCTTCAAATTAAATTTGCTCATGAAATTTATCTCGGCAATTCGATCCACGAAGGCATAGATTTGGGTTATTTAGTGATTTTATTACGAATTACTGCATTGATTCGTTGAATATTACGCCGTAACGTAGACATACGAATTATCTTCAAAATAGGCAGGAACTCGGCAATAAGCAACGCAGAATTCGAATCAGGGCCAGATGGTAGGATACGTAATGGGTAGAACCATGTATACGGTACCGAACTGACTAAATCTACGAAAAAATATCCCCTGACGTAATTCCTGCATAAAAGAAAAAATTATTTACCGCGGAACTCTTGATTGATGACGTCAGAAGCGAGGAAATATATGCCAAAAATTTATGCAAAGTATGTCAAAATAAAAAGATATATTCAAAAAATGATACTTGCAATCAATTAAATATACCTTAAAAATACTCAGAACACTTTCTTTTTGCTCTAACAATCAATAAATAATCATACAATTAATATGACATATAATCTTCTTTTTAATTTGCTTTTTAACTTATTTTCTCTTTATTTTGCTATGTTAATTTTCCTAATAAACATAAAGTAATAATAATATATAACATCAATATTATAATTTCCCACAAAAATATAACTGTTATGTAACATTGATGCTATGTTACTATTACTTGGTGTTTATTAGGACGATTATTTATTGATAGAACAAAAGGAAAAAATTCATAGTATTTTAGTGGAGCATGTTTAATCGATTGCAAGTATCATTTTTTGTATATATCCTATTGCAATGTACTTTGCAGGAGTTTTGGGTGTGTATTTCTTCGCTTCTGACGCCATAAACTAAGATGACCGGAAAATGATAAGATAAATCGGTTCACATTCTCGTGACATTATTACCATATCACTAGACCAGCGTCAAGAAAGATCTCGTGCCCGTCAGAGGATACAAAACCAGTTATGAAGTTTAGAAGTATGTCGATAATACAAACAGCGTAGGCGGGATACACGATGTTCAAACGTTCAGGGCCGCTACTGTTCCCGATTCTGTAGAAGCACATAATATACGGAAGCGTCACAAAGAGATACAAGAAGGTAACGGCCATTATCGTGTCCCAGTAGAATCTACAAAATATTTTCAATCACAACTTTTGTACTTAGCTTGTACTCCGAGTCAAGGCTACCTTTTCTTGAATCTTCGCACCTTAACATGCTGCAGGGATGAATCACCCATCGGTAAGGTGACCTCGCGTGTCTTCTTTTTTCGAAGGCGATAGCTGCCTGGCTGCGCAAAACCGATCGGGTCAAGGGATGTCGGGCCGAGACGAGAACGAGCTTTTGAAGATTCCGCTGCCATCGGCTGTAAAATTTCGCGTTTGGAGGTAATTTTGGCAAATTGCTGTTGGACGATTTGGCCAGGTCGCATATATGCGTGTGCAAATTCGCTCGTTTCCTCAGGATATTTAAATCTATCGCCATGTTTGCGTCAACACGTATCTACGATTGCGACAATCATCTACTGACAGATTCAGTTTTCAGGGTAGAAACTGCCGTTGATGTGATACTTATTGAGTTAACGGAGACGTATTTAAATAATGATATAGGAAATTGTTAACACGTCGGGATCGGTTAGGTTTTCAGGTGTGTGTGTGTATGTGAATGATTGAATGACATCATCTACATCCTCTTCTTCGCGCCTCAGTGTTACCACCGTTCCACTCAGCAGCTGGTGGCGCCAACATAATACCGCGCGGGCGATATAAAATCTGCAAAGGAGACAGACTCGCACAATAAGTTAAAACTTTTTTTATCATATTGCGAGAACAAATTCGTTATCAATGCAAAACGATACAAAGGAAACAGTAGATATGAAAATTCCACTGAGAGAGCGATGGATGCAAGATATCGAAATGTTCTCCAAATATTTAGATATGAAAGTAATTTCTGTTCGTTTAACTGATAATAATCGTCGATGATGATATACTGATAATGATATAAATAAATTATTAACAAATTTATTCTTTATTATAATCTTATATTAATTTACTCCTTTTTATTAAAATACATATATGTAGTTGGCGTCAAAATTATCTTTAAGATGATATCAAATATACATCTCTTTATATTAATATTTGTAATAACTTGCACAAATTTATTCCTATTTTTTAACCAAAGAGAAACGATGATAATGAGGTTATCAGACTGTTCATGTATTTCTTGTGAATTTGATGTTTGAATAACTATCCTCCTCATTTATATTAAGACAAATCTGTAGAGATTGTTACTAATAATAAATACAAACTATAGCTTTCTCTATTATAAATTTGTATATACTCTCTAAATGTTACAATTTTTATTCGAAATATTATCTCCTTATTATCGTAAATATGTGTGTGTGTGTATATATTTGTAAAAATATTACAAAGAAATTTTCTCCTTTGACAGTCTTGCAACATAACCGAACACACAGACTATCTGGCGGTTCATCCTGAAATAAAACAGCTAATTGCGGACTACGTTCTGACTCTCCTCATCGGTAATCATTCATTTGCAGTTCATAAACTTTGTACCCAATCTGCTTTGACAAGATATGGTATCATTAACCAATCTTTCCATCATCTTTAATCTTTAATCAGTGAAGCCTGTTGACGTCGTAGACTTCACAATACAACACTTCAAAGCGTTCGCTAAGGAACCGAAAGTTTGAGACGTCGATTAATTTGCAAAGCAAATCTGTCATTGACATACATTTACAGCAACATCCGAAGATCCAATCTGACATTGTGTGCGACGTTCACGGGGTCTGTATAAAGTGCATATTTGCATCACAATCTGACAAATTAATCTTTTGACAACATGAAACAAATTTCTAGAGATACCAAGTAACTTGTATCTATTAAATAGTATGTGTGTGAGTCATGTGGAAATTTTTTTATTAAATTGTTTAGAGAATTTACAATTATTATATATAGCTTCACATATTGAATAAAGAACTAAATTATATTAAACTAAAAGTAGAAATATTAGCTACTTACTTGATAAAAACAATGACATTATTCGTCACAAAGATCTACTTTTTCCTCTTTCATAAAAATATGTACATTTATTAACATATACTGCTTTAGTATATCAATATAGACTAAAGCAGACTAAATGAACCAATAAAAGAAATCGATTAAAGTTCTGCCTAATTTGATTCCATGAAAAAAAATTGAGTCTTCTATATTAAAAATCTCACATTAAAATTCATTTATTTTAATTATTAAATAATTTTAATTCATATGCAAAAATTTGTTTACGCCACCACAACACAATTTTGGTCTCACACACACCATAATATGATACCATCATACATCCACTTCAAGCTTTGGATATTGCACATGTCACATAATGAGATCCGACTTTACCTTTATCATTTTCTTCCAGGCGCCATCTCTTTCTGCGAATTGCAAATTACACAATTTTCCTAAAAATAATGATTATAATAGTGACACTCCGATAGTAATAAAGTAATATAAATTAATATGTAAAAAGTATTATACGTACAACCAATTCAAAGTTTGGTAGACAGTCCTCATGGAAAGAGTGCTTACAATAAAATACAACCATGTTCCGCGGCTCTAAAAAAAAGGATTTAGTAAAACATTTATGTATAATTGTATATATATAATTAAATTTTAAACTAACTACAACATTTATAAATACCTCTTACAATTATCTTCCTATGGCAAGCTCCACACATTTGATCGTCTGTAGAAAGAAAACAAATGTGCTAGTTTCACATTTTTTTTTATTTTTAATATAATTTATTTCTATCAATCTATTGTCAATTTTATTAAATTTTATCAAATTGTTAACATTTTATAAATCTATTAAAATGAAATATTTAAACTATATATAAGTCGATACTCAACCACATAGAAAATTCTTCAAAGCTTTCTATAACATTCTCCCCTCTATTATTATTCCTATAATTCTATAATAAATAAATGCATTATTTTTGCTTTTTCTAAAATCGCTAACACCAATCTACAAATTCGCGTACGCTACCATCAATAAATATGCCTTTCTGGTGACAACGAACGAGCCTCTCATGAAGGTTGAAGTAATCATTCGACAGGATCTTCTTACAACCTTCTTGCACAGACACCTGCAGATTATAGTCACACATCATCTTGACCAAGGCTTTTTTCAGTCCTGGAATTTCCAAAGTGGGCTCTATCCTTTGTACCATGAGTCGAGGATCGACGTAAGTACCGATCCTTTGAAGAAGGAACGTAATAGCCGCTGGAACACGAAAAAATGCATCGACTCGTAATTATAGTGCCTAATATGTCATGAGCAGATTTCTTTTTCTGTGAATATAATACACATGTGGTGAAGATATTCGTACCAGGTTTGTCGAGTGAGTAATTAACTAAATCATTCCATAATTCCTTGTCATCGTGTTCTTGGCAAAATGCAATGGCGCTCTCCATATCGTTGAGTTCCCTCGTCATGAGTGCCAAAGCTTCTGAAGTATTCCCCATTCTACCTAATAGATACACCATTTCGGGATAAAATTGACGCTGACTACATATATCCAGAGCTTGCTGTATCGGATAACTATCCGAGCGACGCAAGAGCGGCAACAGCTTGTCCCTCGAATAATCGGCGTATAATCGTATCAGCAAGTCATGATATTTGCCTTTAGAATCCTTTGTATCTTTTTTGTCTAAGGCATCCAAATACTAAAAATGAGAAACATGTAAGTCAAAACTTCATATAAAGAAAACGTTAATCAAAACGTTTGTTTTGATAAAAATGGAGGAAAGTTGAAGTTATAAATCTATAGTTGAATCAAAATGCGTTTTTCCTATATACTTCTGAATTACAAAAGTATCATCAAGACATTACCAGGTATAAATAACGTTGATTATGCTGCAATTTCTGTACAACAACCTCAGACGGCACCCTATCTTTTTCCAAGAAAAACTGTATGGCACGCTCCGTGTCCAGGTCCATCAGACCTTCGATCATTTCGTATATCGAACTGTACAACTGGTACTTCTGGATCAATTGGAAGACGTCTTTGTGTCGCAGCTTCAAGTACATGGCGAGCGCCTTGTCGTATTTGCCGTCGTAGATATATAAAATTGCTAACGCTTCTAACAATACGTTCTGTCGTTGATTGTGGACTAATAAATGCTCCAACACACCGTTAACTACCGCCGCTACTGTGTACAAACTCGGAGACCACTCTTTGACTAGTTGCAGGAAACCGTCGGGATCCATCTTCAGGTATTCGTACAATACCATCTCGTAGATCAACGGATCGAGAGTGACATCACCGCGTGGCAAATAAGACGAGATGGAACGCAATTGATGTACTCTGGCAAATTTGTAAACCTGTCTCGGCAAGAAGAAATAATTTACGTTATATTTACGTATTATTACAAAAAAATCAAAAGAAGGAAAAGATCCTACAAATACAAACTTGAGAGAATTGCGCTCACCTCTTCCTCCCACAATTTTTTGTTTCGTCCTAAAATCTTAAGACAAAGTTTTCCTGCCTCGTCGTATCTTTTGTACTTTAACAAGTGATCCAAATAGGTACGGCCCACATATAACAATGTGTGCTTTTTGCAATCTTTGCCGTTCGTTGTTACAGCTTCTAGAGCTTGCTCGAATTTTCCGTGGCTCAACAGCCAGTCGATTCTATCGTCTGCATCGTATAAACTGGCTACTACGATATCTTTTGGACTGACAATGAAAAATCTACAAAGTTTTTTTTTATATGAGAAATAGATATGAACACAATTAATAAAATGAATATAAATGGATAAGAAAGAGATCACAGTTTCTAAAAGAGAGGACAATTTTTTGATATATCTTTTAATATTTTGTCTGCAGTAAATATTCTTTCCCGGGAAAAAAAGTTCTAATAAAAATCAGATATGGATTTTGTCAAGATCTGATCAGATATAATCAGATATAATTCAGATATGATTCAGATCTGTCCATATATAATCATATAATCATATATACGATTATATATGGACAGATCTAAATCTGAATTATATCTAATTATATCTGATCAGATCTTGACAAAATCCATATCTGGCTTTTATCTGAACTTTTTTTCCGGGGTTCTTGATATTTCTTTAACTTCTTTTAGGAAATATCAAGGATAAGGAAATCATTTTCAATTTGACCAAGAAAACTATAATTAAAAAGATTTTTTTCAGGATGCCCTACATCGGATTAACATCAACTACCTATTTTCCTCTTTTAAACAATCTAGATGGTAATCGTTGCAGCTATACTCCTTATAGCCACGTAGGGTGAGCGAATTTGCGCATATCACTGAGAAATCTTGACCATTAGGTTCAACAACATGCAAAGTTGGACGCTGACTCTTCCCATTTTCGTCCAGTGCTTTTAGACATCCCAGCAATACTAACTGATTTCCCAGTGGCGCTATACCCGATATATAAAAATCTACTTGGAATGTCGACACTGAAAATAAAAGTACGCTTGTTTATACAATTTTTACATTTATGAAGTATATTTAAGAAATCTTAAAGGGATGCACTTTTCAATGATTACCTGGATCTACTACAAATTCGGGTAAATCTCGATTCACCATTTCTTGCATGGTACGTTTTCTAATTTGACAGACCCGAACGACGTCTACCCATCCAATCAACAGTGTTTTATCATCCGACCACTGCAGATTGCATCTATAATGTTCTGGCGATGCACTGTGCGAAAAGAGCATAAAAAGTTATAAGAGATACGTAAGGTGTGACAAAAAATTTCTGGTTCCAAGTGAATTAGATGCAATAAATCAATTGCAGTCGTTGTAACCAACATGATTTGTAACGATGGCTGACCAGAGAAAATAAATAACAAGTGATTTCTGTTTCACTCATAATTCACTTAGCGCCAAAACTCCCTTGACACACCTTCCAACGCATATGATGCTATATGCGCTACTTTGTATGAGCGCTTACTCTGCTGTACGAGACCACTTGATGAGTCCCAACGAACATCTGGCATCAAGGTCATAAACTCTCACACCGGTGTCAGAGGCCCAGGCTACAAAGCGACTAGACCAAGCAACAGATCTCACTCCACCTTCTGCTTCACAAAGAACCGTTGACTTCATTCTGGCCAGAAAAGTCTTCTCATAGAGCACCAGTTTGTCATCACCTATTGAATATATGCTTGTAGATGCCATTAAAATTTTAAGAACAAATTTCAATCAACTTTATCTATAAATAGTCAGCTACCAAAAATATCCAATTAAAATTTCATATGTTTTACCTGTAATAAATCTTCTGCCACTGCCACTTTTGTAATAATTCGGGTCGATTGCTATACTTTTCACTAGTCTGCCCATACTCATGTTATGATTGTTCTCTGTACTGTATAATCCATAAATGAAAACCTTTCCATCATCACTACAAGAAGCAATGAAGTCACCATTATGGTCTATAGAAATCTGATTGACTGCCACTGTGTGTGCCTGTAATGTTTTAGACTTTACATTGTTCCCCTGGTGGTCCAGAAGATGGATCATTCCCCAATGTGATCCTAGGCAGAGGAACTAAACAAAGGAAAAAAGAAAGAGAAAATAATACTTGTGATTAGTGAGATATAATAAAATAGACAAAAAATTTGATTTTGATAGTAATTTTCAGAATAATCATTTAATGGTAATTTGTAAACCCTAAATTTTCATGATAATTCAGTATATTTTTACCTTTGGATGTACAGCAATACAGCTAGCTGCATCATTCTGTAGGATATGTTCTAAATCATTGCGAATCCTCACATATTTTAGTCTAGGTTCTACTTCATCAATTTCAGAAGAATCAGAATCATCTTGATTACTCTGTTCATCCTATACAACAAACCAATTTTTGAATAACTGTGAAACCTATTTTATATATGTGGTTCAACAATCATTACCCAGACAGCATAAGATCTCCTGAGGACGTCCTAAGGACGTCCTGAGGATGAAGAAATGTCCTCAGGACTTCTTTAGGATGTACTTTCGATGTCCCCTGGACATCTGCTGTTAGGGTAAATGTTGCATTAAAACAGAATTAATAACCCTTTTGACCCAAAAGGGTCACAGATTCGCTTAAAATTGAAAAGAAGGAATTATAAAAAAACACAATATTTAGATTAATTAGGATATAGCAAAGTAACAATACAATACATAAGATATAACAATACAAAGTTCAACAGAAATTGTTTCATAAAAGTGATGAGACACACAATATACATTATATGAAAATTAAAAAAAGAATTAACATATTCACAATGATAGTTTACTTTATTCAACGTTGTTTCCATCTTTATTTCTCAGTTGTCGTCAACACGACGTAATAAGTTAAGAACTGTCAAAATTGTGTTTCCAAGTTAGGGTGAGGTTGAGTATTTCAAGTGAAGCTAGGTCGGCACTATACAATTCTTTTCTTCCTCTACTAAGGACGCCCATTCATTGGGTACATTCAGTAGGGAGCGTCCCGATTGACGACGGTACGATTGGACACAACCAACCGATGCAAAGAATTATCTAGTGAATTACTAGGTCGAACCAATCATTACAATCTGTGTCCATCGTACCTTGCTCCCACCCGGGCAAATCAACTTTCTCACTCTGTTTTAAACTGCCAACTAGCTACTACACAGAAGTATAGGAATGCTTGGTATGTATATACGTCATTGGCTGCGTTCAACAGAGAAAGCTGCTTTGCAACTGTTGTAAAATTTGTGAATCTAATTGGTCTGTTCTTTTCAGCTGTACTGCTACAGGCTGCGTTCAGAAATACACATGTGCACACTATTAGACGATAGCCGTTGGAGCGAAATACAAGAGTGAGATAAAAAAAGAGGGAGAGTACTCGACTGACATTTCCGAACGCAGCCGCAATAAGTTAGAGTGAGAAAACATATATTTGTCTCACTTTAACTTATTGCTTCAGTTCAGCAATCAGCTGAGAAGAACAGACCACATTTTGAGAACACTTTGGCTGTGTTCGTTTTGGCGCTTACAACACTCTGAGCATTATTTCATCCTTGTTTCTATCAAATACTAAACAAGGACAAATGATGCTTACACGCGCTATAAGCGTCAAAACGAACGCAGTCTTTGGAAGCTGATGGATATATTGGCTTGGTTTACATCGTATACTTGATACGCGTACTAAATAGTAACTTTCTATTAGATAATCTTAATATCGACAATGAATATCATGACGCATTCTATCAATACAATATGTTTTGTTGATGAGTATTGTATCAGCTTAATATACCGTTGTTTATATATATCATCGATATTAAGATTATCTAATAGAAAGTTACTATTTAATACGCGTATCAAGTGCACGATGTAAACCAAGCTAATGGTATGTTAAGCTGCTGTAATACTCATCAACAAAACGTATTGTATTGATAGAATGCGTCATGATATTCATTGTCGATATTAAGATTATCTAATAGAAAGTTACTATTTAATACGCGTATCAAGTGCACGATGTAAACCAAGCTAATGGTATGTTAAGCTGCTGTAATACTCATCAACAAAACGTATTGTATTGATAGAATGCGTCATGATATTCATTGTCGATATTAAGATTATCTAATAGAAAGTTACTATTTAATACGCGTATCAAGTGCACGATGTAAACCAAGCTAATGGTATGTTAAGCTGCTGTAATACTCATCAACAAAACGTATTGTATTGATAGAATGCGTCATGATATTCATTGTCGATATTAAGATTATCTAATAGAAAGTTACTATTTAATACGCGTATCAAGTGCACGATGTAAACCAAGCTAATGGTATGTTAAGCTGCTGTAATACTCATCAACAAAACGTATTGTATTGATTGAATGCATTGCCGTTGATATGCATTGTTGATATTAAGATGATCTAATAGAAAGTTACTATTTAATACACGTATCAAGTGCACGATGTAAACCAAGCCATTGCATTGTATGTATAAGTCATTAGTGAAGAAAGTATTCAGACTGCATTTAAAGATGTTATAAAGCAATTTTTAAATCTATCTACTATTATTGTTAGTGTAGTGGGCATTTTGTAAAACAATTTCATAATGAAACAGTGTTGATATTTTCGACAGAGTTTACTAAAAGAAGAAACATTAAACCATGAATAATATTTACATTTGAAGAAAACTGGCCAAAGAAATAGAAATTTCAGGTCACAAATATAGAAGAAGAAAAAATTTATAATATAAAGCGAAATCACATAGAGAGAGAGTAAAGAATTATTATTTGAAATATCATTATGTCACCTGACACTAACGAAAATTGAAGTTGCATATAATTATGCTTATGATTGCAAAATGACGAACAATTTATTAGTTTTCATTCCACAAGGATTACACATTGAGCAATCTGGTTATGTCTTTGGTAAAGTGATCCACGACACGCATAATAATACGAAAAGAATTTATATCATTGGATTACGTAAAATAGGTTCTCTGGAGACAACTAAATGCACATTAGACACCATCGGATGTTGCACCAACTCAGGCACTGTAACCAAAGAATACTTAGATCGAAAGCATTCCGACTGGATACACATCACAATAAAATCCTTTGGGAGTGAAACTAGTACTGAATATCATTTAACAAATATCATTCTTAACAATGTTAGTGTTGATCCATTGACAACACGCACAATAATCATTTTGTATAACCAACGAGCATTACTAGAAACAGAATTGTTCAAGAGTAAAGTTATGTCAGGTGATCATTTTTATGAGCTTGCAAAATTGATCCAGAGCAAGAAAGATGAGCTTAGATTCAAATCCAGATTCACTCATGTCAAGGAAACTCTGTTGACTTATCATATGTTCTTTTACCTGTATCCAGTTCTATTACTATCTAAAGTAACAGAAAAGTTATTGCTAGTCTTGAGGTATTCTTCTCTTGGCTTACACGTTTATGCCTGGTTAGAGAACATCAAATGGATGTTGGTCACAATCATACGTAACAAGGGTTTCACTTTGAAGACAGGAAACTATGCCTGGGCGATAATAATAGATATTATACTAGGAATATTTGTTCTGAGGTTATTGCAGTATTATATTGAGGATACACTACCGTCACAGTTGCTTCTAAACAATGCAGAGGCAAGTTTGGAAATGTGCAAAATGTGTATGTGCAAAAATAATTTATATCAGTTATTTTCTTAGTAAAAGTTCAACTTTAAGTTCTTGATCAACTTCTAGTAATTTAAAAATTAAATGCAACTTTTTTTTTATTAAATTAAATTTTTTTATTAATTTTTTTTTATTAAATTAAATTTTTTTATTAAATTAAAGCAAAATTTACTTTAGATAAAAAATAAAACTATAAACGTTTGCCTTGTTATATAAAATTACAAATTAAATTGTGTATTATAAACCTGCAAATATATTTAATTTTGTCTGATTCTATTTTGATCAGCTTTAAAACTTGTAATTTTTATTTCTCAGAAAGTTGTAGAGACTTTGAAGGACCTGATTAATTGGTTGATGGGTGCACCAGCTGGTTTAAAGCTTAATCATACACTGAATAATACAATGGGCAAGTTTTTCATGTATCATATACAACTCTGGTGGACATTCCTGATATTTTCAAAACCACTCATGGATCTTGCATTCAAAATATTACTTTTATTCGGAAGACTAGGCGTCACCTTTCAATTATCCATTGCTGCGGATCTCTTAGCTCTCGTCAGCTTTCATACATACTGCATTTATGTCTATGCAGCAAGGTATATATTTTGAAAAATTTTACAAAAAACTACACAGGGGAGACAATTAATTTAACACATAATTAATAAAAAGGATATAACATTTAAATTATAAATAAGTTATAAAAGTAATTATTCAAAAGTCAGATTTGTTATAGGCTCTTTAATATTCAGCTAAGAGGTATTACGGCTCTCTTCAGACTTTTCCTTGGAAAAAAGAAGAATCCTCTGCGTGAAAGAGTGGATTCGTGCCAATATCAGACGGATCAACTATTTGTTGGAACGCTATCGTTTACCATTCTTGTATTTTTAATGCCAACAACATGGGTGTATTACACAGTATTTACACTGGTAAAGTGTGTATGCTCTGATTTCACTTTTCAAGTTCAGATATCTGAGATAATGCTCATCATATATGATTGCAGCTCAGGCTAGTATCTATCGGATTTGGTGGTTTACTGACCAGATTGAAGTTTTATTTACAAGTTATGCCAGTTTATACTTTCTGGAAGTGGCTGTTGCGCTGTTATAGTACTTGTAGTAAGAAACATAATCTATATAGGGTGTTATTTCCTCCCGCCCTTCGCTAAATACATAGCGTTGTTCCTTATGGAAAATTAAATCAGAAAGTCCTGAATAATTTTTTTCTACTATGCTTAATAAAGTAATTATTCTTAAGTAAATTTCAACTAATCAGCGCTGTCCTTTAGACAGATATATCTGTGAGCTGCGTACGATCTGATAGTGTACGTGAGCGCTTCGCCGCTACTTCGCAATATTTCTGGGTTGCTAAATAGCTTGAGCAGCTCATAAATTTGTGCTCGTCTAAAGGACGGCTGATTAGTTAAAATTTACTTAAAAATAAAGAATTACGCTATGTACTTAGCAGGCGGGGAAAAATGACATCTTGTATATTAGTTAAAGAAGAACATTCTCTTTGCATAATATATCTAATATAATTAATATTGTGACTGATAATAACAATAATGTTGTCTCCATAGGTATCGTTGATGTCGGATTGCATCCTAGCTGCCCAGAAAGACCGACTATGTTATCAATGACTTTATCCATTGCACCTTGGTCCCTCACATGGAAACAATGTATTCCAGATACAATTACTTGCTATCCATCTATTGAATGGCACACGATATTGAATAACATTATGTGGGGCCAATTGTTGTATCCATTATGAGTATTTAACAAGTGTTAATTATGTACATTTATTCACAAATATTCATTGCAGCATAATGAACAAATTTTTTACAGTAAAAGTGAAATTATTCTATTATTAAAACTAACAGTTGCACCTGTAGAAGTTCTCTACTTTGATGCAATCTTTTTGTTATGCTCAGTTTCACATCGCTTTAAACTAGTTCCCAGATCAACATACATCATTTCATCAATATCATTCTCCTCTCTCAAGATACAGAAATAAACTAGAAAAACTATTAAGCTTATCATTACAGCTGCTGGTTGATAACTAGGCATATCTCTTTGTGGAATACGATATTCATCAACTGCCATATGAGCAGCTTTTGACTTAGAATATACTACAGGACGGGTGCCCTCTAGATCGTCGTCAATTTCGGTTGTCATGTTCTGCTTATGTCTAACATTAAGTACAGCTTGTGGTACATTATACCTATAATGAAAATAAACAATGTCAAATTATTCTAGACATACAAATATAATTCAATGAATTTCAATTTTTTTTCTTATCACTTTATAGCTTATAGAAAATAAATATTTCTTTGTTTACCATAATGTTCGTTTTTATTATTGCAAAATCTAACATAACCTTATCAGAGTTGAGAAAACTAAGCTCAACTTAAGTTTACACAATGATTATTATTTGATGTAATTGTTTTTTTTCACGTAATAACAATGCGTGAATTCTTAATGAATCTATATTATCAACATTTGAAACATGTTACTATAGTAAAACTAAAAAACAGTTTTAACTTTCAATTACCTTTTAAATAATATACTTTTATTCCTTGGTACAATGTTTCTGACGATGTTGCGTAACATTTGTAACAATGTAATGTCGAATATATATATATTGTCAAAGTTAATTCACGTTTGTGAAAAAACTTATTTTGTTCACTTTTTTACTACTGTCAATGTTTATTTTCGAGTTTAATAGCTTGATCACTATTTTGTGCAAATACTCTGGGAAAATCAGTAAACTTTGGACAGAGTTTACTCAACACAAGTTATTCGCGGTGTCACACAAATAGACTATATTTTAAAATTACTAACAAAATCAAGGGAGCGGTGCACTTGGACATGGTGCATTTGGACACAGCCAATCATAGCATCGTGTGATTAGAGACATTTGTAGGGTCCCTTGGAACAGCGACTTGTGATTGGACTGTGTCCATTGCCCCGTGTTCAACTGATATACACCCCAAAATCAATGGCTGCATTCAGCAGACTCAACAGTTGCACAACAGTTGAGTAATTTGTCAATGTAATTGGTCTAGATTTAGGGATCTAATAGCAAGAACCAATAATCGTTGATTGCTTACTGAG